CCGCAGCGGCAGAAAGAAACATGATTAGAAGATGTAATGCGTGCATTCAAGCCAACGGACGTAATTTTGAACAGTTTCTGTAAATTTTACTCGCCAAATTGATAAAAAAAGTTAAAATCCTATCTGTTGTTAAATTTCGTTAAAATTGTTAATTATTACTACCTATTTTTTGAATTACAAAAGATTTTCGAAACGTTAGCAAAATGTTTGCTTTTGTTCATAAAAAGTCATTTTTCTTGAAAACGGTTGACTTTAGAGCAATGAACCAAGAGAACTCTTATTGTGTAAAATTCATTGGCGCTTTAGAATTTGCTGTCAAAAGTCACTTTTTCCAGTGGCGTAAAATTTAGGGGGGGAAAAACCCTTACGATACCTTAAAATCTCCACCACTGGCACGTCTAATGAATTCGAGAAGGGTGCGAAAAAGTAGCTATTAATAGTGGTAATGTGTGTACAAAAGCTCAGTCCTGTAGTTCAAGCGATTCCTAAGATATTGGCGAAAAACTAAAAAAAAATTAGTTTTGACACCGTGTATTTCGAAAACGAAAGCCCAGACAGAAAAATGGAAGAGGAAAATAATGTTTCTTTTTTCAAGAGGAATTTACAGTTTTCCGTTGCGACACTTATTTAGGAACACCCTGTATTAATAAATTTCTTTACCCTATATTTTGTTCTTGACATTTTTTTTAATTTGTTCGCAATACAAAGAAACAATAAAGGATATTTAATAAATTAATACTTTATTTCTTATTTACAATTTGTGTGTATATAAAACTTTTTTGTTAAAACAAGTATAAATGCTATCTTATATATGGAAAATACTATTTTGTAAGTAATGGGCCCCATGTAATTAATACAAGAATTGTAGACCACTGATGTTGCACCTTTGGATACTTGTGTTTGGCTTTCTTTGCCTCTGATTCTCCATCTCCATCATCTGAAATTTTGTATTACAAATTACAAATTAAGGAAATTTGTAATTTGTCATTCTTAATACAAATAACTATTAATATAGTTCTTACCAGCTTTTTCAGGCATGTAAAGGCAATTCCATCCAATTTCACCATCGGCATTCATTCCCAGCAATGGTATATTTGGAAAAACTTTATTAAATAGAACAAGTTCCTCTTCTGAATATATCTTTGCTGAACAACATACTCTAAAGGCGACACTATTAGTTCTTAATATTATTTGTTTTTTAAACTAAAAAAAAAACTATTATTTAATAATATATTTTATATAATGCTCAAGTCTACCTTTAAAAGCTCTTCTTCAAATTCCTCTTTTGACAAATCGTCACCAAAAATAACAAAAGAAAAAGCATTAAAATCTGTGCGAGTGCATTGTTCTTGCAAGAAAACTATGCAGAAGGTGTCATTGCTAGAAAATACCCTTTTTGCAGGTGTAATTTGCTGAAAAGTTTTAGTTCCTCTGATAACACCCCCTCCGACTGCCACTGATGAGGCATTATTTCTAAAATGATAAATATTTATTTACATTTTCTGAAAAGAAAATGAAAATGTTTTGTTTTTGATAAAATACAAATAAAAAATTATACAAATTAAAATTTATTTATTTGATTATTTTATTTTATTGGAAATACCATTATTTTTTAAATATTATTTTTGCTTATAAAAGCTTGAGCATTCTGCTTTTGCAAAGATCAGTATCATAGGTATATTAATTTAAATTATAATACATATACTTACTCAGGTATCAAGACTTTCAATAAATTATATATAGATTTATTTAGGTTTTTGGTACAAAACAGCAGAAGACACTTTACTTCTTCAGTCGATTTTATGTGACTTTCTAGATATTTACGTAAATCTTTTTTGAGCGGATTACAGTGGAACATGGCTGTTCTTATTTTGGGGATTTTAGGTAAGAACAAACCATCCAAAACTGAACCACATCCAACATCTTCCTTCTTGATTACGTCAAAGTATGAGACAACTTTTGGACACGATATTAAGCAATAATTAATGTTTTGTGGTACCAATTCCTCTTCAAGGTATTCTGGAACTTTATTAAAAAAAATTTTACACCGAATCAATTAGAACATAGTATATTAAAAAACTTCATTATATCATAAATGAATTTTATTTTTTACTTATTTTCAGTATCAATTTGAAAGTAATTATTTTTCTAGCTTCAATAAAAAGAATAGTAACAGTTATCATACCAGTTTTCCTTGACAGGTCCATATCATGATAAAAATTATGGACACAAATGTAGCTGTTAAGTTTAATCCTTCTAAAATCATATAAAATGATACCCATATCCACATTATTATAATTAAGGTTATCACTATGTCTAATTATCTTGGGTTTAACCGTAGAAGATACCTTAGCATTATAACACGTAAACCAACTGGATTTATTTCTTTTCTCTAAAATCCTTTGAGCAACTTCTCTCCATGTCATTTTTACTTCGTAACATGTTCTCAAGTCATTATAATTTAAAAAACTAAAAATAATGTCTAAAAGGGGATAGACTGATTCCAGCGCTTCTGAAAAGTCAAAGTTTTCCAAAGGGGTCACTTCGATATTTGGTACCTTTAATTTTATGCTTCTTATACAAAATCCCTTTTGATCGGTCTAGAAAATCAACTTTAAAATAATGTAATTATTTATATTAAATATACTCACCATAATGTAAATATATGCATTTGTATTCGGTTATTAACAATCTTTCTTGTTAATTTATTTGTACAAAAATATCTAAGAAAACAAAATTAACACTAATCTACATTATTTGCAAACAATAATATTTGATTACTTATATGTTGGACAATTCGTTAGAACGATATAATACTTTTTTCAGTCAATATATATTATTTCTTTATGAACAATTCCATCATTCAATCTTCTCGATATATCAAACGTGACACTCGTCTCCAAATTAAAAAACAAAAAAGCCATAAAAAGTCGACAATTCACTGAAAAATCAAATGACAAACGTCAACACCACTGTCGCCACTATAGAATAAGGCCATAGAATAAGGCTTTTTTTCGCGAGTGTAGTGGTATGTTGTAGTATGTGTAGTGTGTATGAATGAAAATATTTAAATTACCAAATGACAATAGCTCTGTTCGCGGAGCCTGTCAAATTAGTCCGGGATCAGTCAGAAGCAATCGCTTAGCTACTTCTTTTATGCTATGCTTGTAGGAAACAGCACATAAAGTAGCTGGACGACTGCTTCTGACTGATCCCGGACTAATTTGACAGGCTCCGCGAACAGAGCTAATATATTCACCAATATTCTGTAGTGAAAAAAAGCCTATGGAATACTGAAAATTGTCAGACACCTCTGACCACAAAATAATATATAACACAAAATACAGTCGCGCCATTATTCCATGGCTAGAAATTGGCCTCAATGATTTTGGATCGAGGGGGATTATCCCTCTTTATCCTGCCTCATCTCGTGTAGGCCTGGGCAGCCTTCGTAGGTGGGCCCCATCCGTCGTCTACCGTGTAGGCGTTTTGTGGGACCTCCTTTTGTCCTGGCTGGGCCTCGCCGGGGGTAAGTAGGGTATTGGGAGTGTGTATGTGTGTGTGTGTGTGTGTCGTTGTCTTCGTTTCTTGATCCTGGCTGTCTCTGAAACAGAAAAGGTTAGCGGGCAGGGGGAGGGGTGTCGTTGGGGTGGTCACCCATGGTCAAAAAGTTGGTGTCTAGGTCTTTTGTGTTTGTCGGTCACGTCGGGTACGTAGTCAACGGCTTGCCTGAGGAGGGGATTGTCATGTCTAGNAATCATAATATTTGATTACTTATATGTTGGACAATTCGTTAGAACGATATAATACTTTTTTCAGTCAATATATATTATTTCTTTATGAACAATTCCATCATTCAATCTTCTCGATATATCAAACATGACACTCGTCTCCAAATTAAAAAATAAAAAAGCCATAAAAAGTCGACAATTCACTGAAAAATCAAATGACAAACGTCAACACCACTGTCGCCACCATGGAGACTATACAAGGAGCCCGAACTCAGGGCCAGGGCCCAGGGTTGCCAGATTTTTTTTAACCTAGTAGCCAAACCAAAATTGAAAGTAGCCCAAAATAGCCTGACATCTAGTAACAAAAACCGTTATTTATAATTTTTATGCATTTGAAGTTTAAAACCGTTCGAGTTTGAGTTTATTGTTCTGTGAGTCTGGGGACAACCCTTTTCTAGTGGTATGTGGACAACTCTGAGAAATAGAGTAACTGCTTGTTGTTCTCAGGTAAGGGTAAGAATACAACCACAGAACATATAATACATACAAGTACAACTATGGTCGTAACAATCTAGTTTGACACTGGATGCAACATGGCAGCTAAAATCACGTGGACCAATTAAAAATGATACACTCTTTTGTCGCCACTGTCTTGTATAGAGTCACTGTACTAAAGGCTAAATTCCCTAGAAGGCTTCCAAATCCAAACAGTTTACAGAATTCACAGCTTCAGCACAGCTTAATAATAAGCTGTGGCTTAAGTATACTGTTCACAGTTCGCAGTAAAATCTAGAAACTCTGTCGAACTAGATTTAAATTCAAAAATAATTCTCTGGCAATAAATAAATACTTCATCACTGGAATAATTAGTTAACTAAGGCAAATATACAGGGTGTAACTAAATAAGTGTAAAACATTTAAGGGGGTGATTCCTCATCGAAAAAAAGATAGGATCTTTCATATAAAGAAACTTCATTGGAGCATCCCTTGTTAAGATACAGCCCCTTAAAGGGGGTACATAAAATTTGTTTAACAATTTTTTTCACAAGCACTAAACAAGTTACAATATTGAAATTAACCTGACATTTTCTACTACCAAAAAGACACTTAGCCAGTAATTTATTTGGTTTACCCCATGGTAGTAAGGGGTGGAAAACGCAACCCCTAAAATTTATTTCCAACGTAATTTTTTGTCTTATTATTTTTTTACCATTTAAAAAATTATTTCCGATAGCCTGTTTCATTCTAAAAAAAAATGTCTCTTGAATTTTTTGCCCAAATTAAACCAGTTCGCAGTAAAAAATTATTTTACGAACAACTACAGAGATACATCGTCATAAATGCGGACTGGATTTACTGTTATTTTGTAGTTACTACCTGCATTAAATGATTAAAGGGGAATAATCAAAACTAATTTAATAATAACAAAACATACAACATGTAGAAATCATAGTAAATGTTCAATATGTCTACCTTCAGACATTACGCATGCGTCTAGACGTCGGCGCATTGAGCCACGTATTCGCTCAAATATTCCTGGAGTCTCTCTAATTACCCTGCACGCATCGATAATGCGGTTTCTTAAGTCCTCTACATCGCGAACAGGAGTACGATAAACCAAATGCTGCAAATGGCCCCAAGTAGACAAATCCAGAGGATTGAGATCCGGGGATCGAGCGGGCCAATTCTGTGGTCCTCCTCGACCTATCCACTGATTTGCATATGTTTCAGTTAAATGCTGACGTGCTACTTGACTAAAATGGGCGGGAGCCCCATCATGCATAAAAACCATATCCCTTCTGACGCCCAAAGGAACTTCCTCCAGCAGTACGGGGGGATGCACTTTTCTTAAAAATTGAACGTATGCCTCACCATTTAATCGAGGAGGTAGAAAATGAGGCCCAATTAAATAATCCCCAATAACTCCGACCCACACCTTAAGAGAAAACTGTTCTTGATGGTTAGTTTCGACAATAGCGTGATGGTTTTCATCAGCCCATATGTGGTAATTATGAAAATTAATAATCTTGTCCCGAGAAAAACTACATTCGTCTGTGAATTCGATCGTCTTCAGAAAGTCACGATTTCTTCTAATCATTTCCAGCATCCAATTGCAAAATTCAAGACGGTTCGGAAAGTCTCGCGGTAACAGTGCCTGTACTCGTTGCAGATGGTAAGGGTATAAGAGATGTTCCTTTAAAATTCGAAATACCGTCATATGATCAACATTTAGCTGGAAAGCAATCTTTCTAGTACTGGTAGTAGGTTGTTCTTCTATCAAATTAAGTACTGCTGCCTCAAGCTGTGGTGTTCTTACTTCTCGATGGCGACCACAATCCTGCGTTCTTTTGTTGAATGAACCATATTCACGTAATCGTTGATGAAGTCAGACAAATATTCTATGTGAAGGATGCTGCCGTTGAGGATACATTTCAGCATATCTTGTAGAAGCTTCTAACCCATTCCCCTGCGACAGACCGTAAACGTAATGCATATCAGCCATTTCCTCATTTGTGTATGCCATTTTAATAACAAGTGAATTATTAAAGTAACAAATTAAGAACAGAACAATACACAATTAGTATTACTTCAATTTCAAAAATTTACAAACTGACAGCTTGATTCCAATTTAATTGTCAGTATCGCTAATGGCGGCCTACTAGATAAATTAGTTTCGTATTTTCGTTTTATGGCGATATGTATCTTGTTCGTAAAATAATTTTTTGCTGCGAACTGGTTTAATTTGGGCAAAAAATTCAAGAGACATTTTTTTTTAGAATGAAACAGGCTATCGGAAATAAATTTTTAAATGGTAAAAAAATAATAAGACAAAAAATTACGTTGGAAATAAATTTTAGGGGTTGCGTTTTCCACCCCTTACAACCATGGGGTAAACCAAATAAATTACTGGCTAAGTGTCTTTTTGGTAGTAGAAAATGTCAGGTTAATTTCAATATTGTAACTTGTTTAGTGCTTGTGAAAAAAATTGTTAAACAAATTTTATGTACCCCCTTTAAGGGGCTGTATCTTAACAAGGGATGCTCCAATGAAGTTTCTTTATATGAAAGATCCTATCTTTTTTTCGATGAGGAATCACCCCCTTAAATGTTTTACACTTATTTAGTTACACCCTGTATATGGTTATAAAACTAGATTATTATAACTGACAACAAACAACAACTTTACTATTAGCATAGATTACTCTTCTACTATCTACACTTACTTATAAAATAAGATTCTACAAAACAGAAATGGGTATATAAATTATAAATAAATATAAGCCGAATAAAATATTTTTTATTCCATGTCCAAAAGAAAAAAAATAAACTTAACAGCCTTGAGTAAAAACAGAATTTATATAAAGATACTATTCTAACATTCGACTTGTACAGATTGCCGACACTGGTAAAAACTCGAAATAGCCCAAATTGGCGACTGGCTATTTTTGCTTTTTTTCAAGTAGCCAAAAGTCATCTGAGATAGCCCAATTGGCGATAAGTAGCCCAATCTGGCAACCCTGACCCATCGTCCCACGCAGCTCCACAGCCCACCTATGACGCCAAGTTCTCGCTTCCGTGTCGCCATCTATTTGCCTACGGCCTGAGAAAGCGGATAGACAAACCAAATCTACACACGCACTGGAATTTGACGACCCGTTTCTCGTTTTCAGAAATTATGGGCGTGACTTAACATATTATTACGTCACAGGATTTCTACCCTATAACATTTAACCTTCTAGCTTAGTTATTCAATTATTTATGTT